CTCTCAGACTGCAGGTTTACTCGTGGTTCCTAGAGTTTCCAGCAGCAGAATGGGAGGAAGATCTTTCAGTTATCAGGCTCCTCTCTTGTGGAACCAACTTCCAGTTTCTGTCTGTGAGGCTGACACATTGTCCAGTTTTAAGACTTTACTTTTTGATAAATCCTATAGTTAGTGTCGGTTTGTTATGCTGCTATAGGATTACACTGCTGGAGGACAAACTGACCTCATTTCCTTAAATGATTTGTTTAAACTGAATAGTTTTCATTTGATACTATTTCTATTTTAACATGTGATTCTTGACCTGCCATTGTGTATCTATTCCTACCAAACCCAGCCGGTTGAAGCAGATGGTCCTCTTGTCCTGATCCTGGTTCTGCTAAAGGTTTCTTCCTCATGAGGGAGTTTTTCTTTCCACTGTCGCCTTCATGCTTGTTCAAGATGAGAGTTCAGTGATGGAGTTGAACTCAAAGCTGCTCCTCACATAAATAAAGTTTAATTATTATTTTATACATGAACGTTTCTGTTAAATTATTATTTTATACATAAATGTTTCTGTTCAGTCCCTGAGACGATTCTGTTGTGACTTATAAATAAACTGAACTGAATTCTGTTAAACTGATTTACTGAACCTCTTCACGCTCACGACTCATAAAAATAAAACAACGAAGTTTCTTTGAGGCTTTTATCACAAATCTGAAATAAAAAAAAAAGAAAAATCACAACTTCTTTAAAAAAATTAATCCGCTCAGCTCAACGTCTCATTTGTCTTAAAGTGCAAATAACAAACAGCAGCTCATGCATTCTCACAACAAACAGGAAACATCTGTACAAGTGGAGTCTCTCTGCTGCCCCTGCTGGCAGAAAGCAGCTACTGCACACTGAGCCTGATCCAAAACCACATCAAAAACCCCAAAACAGGATTTTAATCTGATGTACATCCTCGTCATCAGTGGCCCTGAAGGCAGCGCTCACTTCTACACCATGTGAAAAGCAACCAAAGTCCAAAACGGCAGAAAAGATGAACCTCATGTTATGAATCAGGAAGCGTTAGAAATTTATTTTTTACATTCCACGTGAACTCATAATCAGACGCGTTTCTGACCTGATATTTGATTCATGGAAGAAAAGAAAGGAATGTGATCCGGTTCTGTTGGTGGTCCAGGAGCTGAGTCCTATTTGTAACAATCTAACACAAAACGAAACAGTACAGTCATCCTGTAAACAACAATAAACATTAGAAAATGTTTGGCTCAATGGATGTTACTTTTTTACAGAAATA